TGTTGCGGTTGCGGTTGCGGTTGCGGTTGCTGTTGCTGTTGCTGTTGCTGTTGCTGTTGCTGTTGCTGTTTGTGTTTGTGTTTGTGTTTGTGTTTGTGCGTGTGTGTTTGTCTGTGTGTGTGTTGTGCGTGTGTTTGTGTGTCTGTGTGTGTGCGTGTGTGTGTGTGCATTTGTGCAGTTGTGCAGATGTGCAGTTGCGCAGTTGTGCAGTTGTGCAGTTGCGTGCGCGTGTGCGCGTGTCCGAGTGTGCGCATGTGCGCGTGTGCGCGCATGCACGTGTGCGCGTGTGCGTGTTTGTGTGTTTAATGTTTGTGTGTTTGTGTGCTTGTGTGCTTGTGTGCTTGTGTTTGTGCGTTTGTGTGTTTGTGTGTTCGTGGGTTCGCGGGTTCGCGGGTTCGTGGGTTCGTGGGTTCGTGGGTTCGTGGGTTCGTGGGTTCGTGCGTTCGTGCATTCGTGCGCGCGTTTCTGCGTGTCTGCGTGTCTGCGTGCCTGCGTGTCTGCGTGTCTGCGTGGCTGCGTGTCTGCGTGGCTGCGCTTCTGCGCTTCTGCGCTTCTGCGCTTCTGCGCTTCTGCGCTTCTGCGCTTGTGCGCTTCTGCGCTCCTGCGCTCCTGCGCTTGTGCGCTTCTGCGCTCCTGCGCTTCTGCGCTTCTGCGCTTCTGCGCTTCTGCGCTTCTGCGCTTCTGCGCTTCTGCGCTTCTGCGCGCTTCTGCGCTCCTGCGCTCCTACGCTTCTGCGCTTCATTCTGCGCTTCTGCGCTTGTCCGCTTGCGCGCTTGTGCGCTTGTGCGCTTGTGCGCTTGTGCGCTTATGCGCTTGTTCGCTTGTGCGCTTGTGCGCTTGTGAGCTTGTGCGCTTGTGCGCTTGTGCGCTTGTGCGCTTGTGCGCGTGTGCGTTTGTGCGCTTGTGCGTTTGTGCGTTTGTGTGTTTGTGCGTTTGTGCGTTTGTGCGTTTGTGCGATTGTGCGTTTGTGCGTTTGTGCGCTTGTGCCCTTGTGCGCTTGTGCGCTTGTGCGCTTGTGCGCTTGTGTGTTTGTGCGTTTGTGGGTTTGTGCGTTTGTGCGTTTGTGCGTTTGTGCGTTTGCGCGCTTGTGCGCTTGTGCGCTTGCGCGTTTGTGCGTTTGTGCGCTTGTGTGTTTGTGCGTTTGTGCGTTTGTGCGTTTGTGCGTTTGTGCGTTTGTGCGCTTGTGCGCTTGTGCGCTTGTGCGCTTGTGCGCTTGTGCGCTTGCGCGCTTGCGCGCTTGCGCGCTTGCGCGCTTGCGCGCTTGTGCGCTTGTGCGCTTTTGCGCTTGTGCGCTTGTGCGCTTGTGCGCTTGTGCGCTTGTGCGCTTGTGCGCACATTGTGCGTTTGTGTGTTTGTGCGCTTGTGCGCTTCTGCGTTTGTGCGCTTGTACGTTTGTGCGTTTTGTGCGTTTGTGCGTTTGTGTGTTTGTGCGTTTGTGCGTTTGTGTGTTTGTGCGGTTGTGCGTTTGTGCGGTTGTGTGTTTGTGTGTTTGTGCGTTTGTGTGTTTGTGTGTTTGTGTGTTTGTGCGCTTGTGCGTTTGTGCGTTTGTGCGTTTGTGCGTTTGTGTGTTTGTGTGTTTGTGTGTTTGTGTGTTTGTGCGTTTGTGCGTTTGTGCGTTTGTGCGTTTGTGTGTTTGTGCGTTTGTGCGTTTGTGCGTTTGTGCGTTTGTGGGTTTGTGTGTTTGTGCGTTTGTGCGTTTGTGCGCGTGTGCGTTTGTGCGTTTGTGCGTTTGTGCGTTTGTGTGTTTGTGTGTTTGCGCGATTGCGCGTTTGTGCGTTTGTGCGTTTGTGCGTTTGTGTGTGCGTTTGTGTGTTTGTGTGTTTGAGTGCTTGTGTGTTTGTGTGTTTGTGTGTTTGTGTTTGTGTTTGTGTCTGCGTTTGTGTGTTTGTCTGTGTTTCTGTGTTTCTGTGTCTGTGCGTGCGTTTGGCCGCGTGCTTGTGCGCCTGTCCGCTGCGCGCGGCGTGCGCCTGCCTGCGCTTGCGCCTGCGAGTGCTGCGGCTGCGGCTGCACGTGTGCGTGTGTGTGTGTGTGTGTGTGTGTCTGTGTCTGTGTCTGTTTCTGCGCCTTTGTCTGTGTCTGTGTCTGCGCGCGCCTCCGCGTGCGTATGAGTGTTGCCTGTGGGCGATTGCGCTCTTCTGTTCACTCTTCTTCACGACTTCGCTCGCGCTTGGAGAAACGCGACAAACACCGTCATGAAGCCTGCTGCTTGCAAAGGTTTCTGCAGCGCGGCGCGATCTTGAAACGGCGCTGACACAAACTGTGGCCAAATTGGGTTCAGCTCCGATGGCGCCGTTGGTGATTAAGACTGCGCATGTCTCTCTCCAGCAGCTTGCGAGCTCCCTGTTCACAGCATATGCTCAGCAGCTGATGGGCACGCACGTTGTCCTGTTGAACGGGCGCTCAGTCGGGTGAGAGTCGATGGCGCGATTTTCTCCAGTTTTGTTTGGTTCTTTACTGATCCATACAAAGGGAAGAAAGAATGATTTCGTCTACTTTCAAAAGCTAAGGCCTATACGATCCACACCATGTTTTTTCTTCCGTGTCGAAAGGCCAACATGGACCTTTTTGAGTTTTTCTTTTGTTGCCACCGGATGTCCTCCACTATGATAATCTTGCTGATGCGCCTCTGACAGCCTCATGATTTAACCGATTGCATCAGGAATTGAACATCATGTAGATGCACATGAATCGGAGAATTCGCCAGTAGCTCTCAACCAACATCTCTCCCCTGCGCATCTTGGCCTGCAGGCGTTGGATAGTTGAAGCCTCCACCATACTGAACTGGCTGCGGCACCTGTCAAGCTGAGTAGCGCGGTTCTTAGAGGCTCGGGGCACACATGCCAGGGAGGCTACGCTGGGGCTTCGGGCTTCGTGGGGCCAGAATCCGTGGAGAGGTTATCAAGGCTTCGCGGCAAGACGGTGGCTTCGCGGATTGGCTTCGCGGACGTCGGTCCCGATCACATCTCTGGCGCTTGGGTTCCTATTTAGTTGAATCTACGCGAGAAGGAGCAATCAGAGAGGGCGCAAGAAAGTCGGCGTTGGCGACGCTGTTTGTGGCTGCCGCACGGTGCGGAAACAGGACGGCGGCGCAGCACATGATGTTCTGCCTAGCATGAATTCGGTCACCCTGATGGCAAGTTTTCTGCGGCGTTTCGGTCATGGTAGGGACGTCTCTGCGAATGAGATGTTCAATTGCGAGATGGGCGGCATCTTTAACTTGCTGAAGAAGGGCCCTGATGACTACAAGGCCTTGCTGAAGAAGGGCCCTTATGACTACAGGCGCAAGCGAAGCTGCGAAATGCCTTGCCAGAACCATTGGCAAGCGTGTGCAAGAAAACGGCGGTCGGCGACTAAGCATAGACAGGAGGCAAAAGAGAAAGCTTGAGCCTCGGGATTGAAGGACACAGCTGGGCTTCACAGCTGGAAGTTGCACCCTATCACAAGATCTTCTCGGAGTGGCTTTAAACATCGACCTTTGGCTTGCTACAATGCTACTACCGCGAAAGCCCATAAAACAGCACTTCGTGAAGTGGCTTCGCCTGTGTCAATTTTACGGGCCTACATGGCCCCTGAAGCGAAAATCCTTCTTAAAAATACGCTCAGGTGATATCCCCCAACAGCACCACGCGCCCCCGCTTGGAACCCCTCGGAACCGCCGAAACCCTCGCGGCCCGTGCATCCCCGGAACAACCCGGAGCCCTGCGGAACCCTCGCAGAACCCGCGGAACCTTATCTCAGAGCCGCCCCAGACCACCCCACAGCCTATCTGAATGAGACCCCATCGCTTTCAGCTGTTGGGGAACTCAATTGGCAATCAGGACGAGGTATTCTGTCAGAAAGATCAGTCTCAGGCAAACCTTGTGACAATGGGCAAAATGCTGTTTCTGCCTTCAACACTGTACATCTTGACAGCCTAGGGGCCAATGCCTATCTCCTGCCTGCTTGCGCACGAAGGATGTGATCTCACCGTTGGCACCCACCAGGGACCTGGCAAGAAACCTGCGACCTGGAATAGCTATCTGTAAGCCCGAGCCAGGACTTTGCCTTTAGACTATTAAAGGTTCCCGCAGAAAGAGTTTAGAGAGAGAGAGAGAGAGACAGAGAGAGAGATAGAGAGAGAGAGAGAGAGAGAGCAAGAGAGATCTTGGGGCTGTGATCCTCGTCTCAGGCTCCTTTGGTGAAATCAAATCCTTGATCTGTCTGTTGAATCTCCGCAGAGGCACTCCCTTTTGTCAGTCGCGCCAAATGACATTTGAACGTACCAAGCCATGGATTTCAGACCCTCAGTGCCGCTCTCTGACAGCAAACCTGCTTGCCGTCTCAGCATGGCTACTTATGACTTCCTCCATGACTTTCATGCCTCGCACATTCTGCAGCATGGCATCCTTTAACGTGTATACAAAATGTCACGGCATGTATAACACAATGATTTCCAAACCCTGCGCACTCTGTGTCACAACGCCGGCGTTTGCATGCGTACACAGAATGCCGCTAAGACTAGAAAGTACAAACACAAGTCTGCTAAAGCATGCAACATACGTGGAAAGCAGAAACAAGATCGTCCTACACGGGAAAGACTGAAGGCTACTGCCAAAGCAAAAACAGAAGGAGGAACTGGTTCTCAGAAAATACCAAGAGTTATTCAGGATCAACAGGTCCTGACGGAATGTAGTTAGATGAATTCTGAATCAACTCCTGTACATGCTGGGCAGGAAAGAGTCCTTACCAATGCCATGCCGATGTTTCGCGCTAGCCCGAAGCATCTGATGCCCAAGTGGCGCGTTACAAGTAGATTTATGACTGGCATGTGATACAAGCGGGCGTCGTAAGTCACCCCACGTCGCGTTAAGTCACCCCAGCCATCCCCAGCCGCTTGGAACTACGCATATCCGTTTAAGTCACCCCATGCGTTTTAAGTCACCCCATTTTTTGCAAAACACAATGGGCACAGAACTGGAAGGGCGATGTTGCCAACCCCAAGAATTCACCGCACACTGCACGCACATGCTCAAAGCTCACTGGTTTGGGTTCATGTTGAATGCTTTTCCCGGGCAAAACCCTATTGGGCACACTGCAATTAACGGGTTCCTATCCTTCAAACATAAATAGTGTTTTAAGTTGGTTCCCCCGGAACACCCGACAAAAGGGCTGCCGGCGCGAGTGCCGCGCGACTCTGAGCGAGTGCCGCGCGAGCGCCGGGTGAGCCGTGCCCTCATCCCAATGAACATTTTGCATGCACACAGCACAGAATTATGCGATTTCAGAGAACTATCTTTACATCCACAAACACAACGGGCACACTCACCCGGGACGACTTAGATCAACCCGGGACGACTTACAGCACTTACCCTGTAGGGGCTGGCTCCAGTTCTAGTGGCTGATTGCCTAAAGACAGCCATCATCGGAAGGCGCATGACAAACTTTGCAGTGAAACGAATGCGCGAGTAAAGTTGTTTCACAAATGTAATTCGCCACAATCACAGAACCCCATTCAACATCATTCCGCAGCAGAAAGCCTTCATGATTGACCACACTAACATGAGCGATCTTCCGAATCTGCCAATGTGGGTCAACCAGCAATCAGTTTCGCAACAAACGCAACCAGTGCGCCCCCGCATCACCAAGCAAACCTGCAGCTTGTTTTGCATTCAGCAGAACTGGTGCACCGGACCGGGGGCTCATTCGCTCACCTCACTGCATTCAATTCGGCGGGCTCTACCAAACAAGAACAGAAATCATCTCCTACATGTTCAGACGTACTTGCTCTGGGAAAGGAGGCGACGTAGGAATTTGCGCTTCTTAGAGCCTGGGCCTTTGCGCAGCTTATGTTCAAAGCGCGCGGGAACCTTGGGTGCGAAGCGCAGGGCTGCAACATATCGCACTTGTGTTCACTTGGGCCCTTCAGCCAGCTTTCAGAGAAGAAACGTGCAAGTGTCCGTGCCATGTCACAAAGGCTTCAGTACGACCCGTATCGTGCTTGGTGCTCCACACACAAGCACCAAAAAACAAGATCTTCTGGACACCTAGCACGTCCAAGACTACAGGTCCCCACAGTCAAGTCGGGTGCCTGTGTTAGGCAACGTCTCAAGGTCGAAAGGGAGCCACCAGAGAAATATCGAGGCGAATTGCTAGGCGGTGAGATCACTGGCTTCAAACCAGGATGTGGGTAACATGTCCATGAGCTTGGCTTCATATGGTCCCTGCCTGAAATGTGAACGACTGCAAGCTTTAGGAAACTAAAAGCCATGCAGAGTCTCAGAGTGAATATATCCCGAACAAGCTCCGACAGCAAGACCTGATCCCTATCACAAGGCTGGAACATACTAGAATAACATCTTGGTTCATCCCTGTTCATGGCTGCCTGCTCTAAAGCCCTCATTTCCAAAACACGTGGTAATGAGGACATCTGACGTGTTCTAGTACAAGTCCTTTGCGTTGGACAAAGCCATTCACTTCTTGCAACTGATTGATTCCATTTCATTCCTGTCATCATGAGGCACCCTGTCAGCCTTGAATCAGGAGCAACTTGGGCGCTTGCTCTGCATCAACTCAAAGTCTTGCCCTTGCCTATGCTATGTCAGAAACAAAGGACCCTCGCAAATAGCACATAAATGTAGATGATACATGACATCAGCAGGTTGCGCATCCTTCTTGCACAAATGAATTGAATTCAATCAAGCGTCGCGGCCGCGCTGCTCAAGCAGCATCAGCAGCAAGCTGTTTAGCTCAACGTCTGCCCGGCCCAGCTTTCTATGTCACAAAAAACCAACTTAGATATGCATCTACATGCTGGTGTTGCCTGTCGGGCCTGGGCAACGCAAACAGGAAGGGAGCGGAATCTTGCATTCATAAGGCTTCCCAGGCGCTACTGCATCCTGAAAGATGTCGTGAAAGATTCCTGAAAGGAGCGACTAAAGCATCTAAGATGCCGGACACTCAGACCATCCAAGTCAGCCGGCCAAGCACAGGTAGAGTTCTTAGCCTAGTGTCCACTTAGACAAAGCACACATGCACAAAGAGCTGATCTTGTATCCACCCTCGGCACCTGAAATACTTGCTCAATTCACCGAAACAGCTGTTTTGTCACTAGGATATTCTAGTCATTCTAGTCAGTGTGCAGAAAACATGAGGCAGCTGTGGCGTCCTTTCAAATCGCCCACATTCCCAACATGTGGCATGCTTGCTGTTTCCGTTTTGAACTGGTTCTGTGGAGGGCACAGTAGCCCACTGAAGATGGCATGCATGACCATGCGAGCCTGAAAGAAAGATGTCATCGCCAGTGTTCCAGCGCGGCATGAATTGGAAAGGAATGCCGGATTTAGCAAGTGAAGAGACCTTCAAAAGGCGACGGCAATCGGTGGAAGCAGCAAGTGACACACGACTAAAGCATGGAACTTCGGCAAGCCGAGCTTGCGAAGAATCGTGTGACCCATCGCTGCGGCCACCAGGAACGCCACGCCAAGGCTTCTCGATCTCTTGCATCGGACCGTTGAAAAATTCCTCTTGCATTGCTGCAGGGCTGCGGGAGGTCGAAGCTCGGAGAAGCGTCTGGTCAATTGAAGTGCGCGATTTGCGCGCAGGACGCCTCAAAGTACAAACGGCTTGACACTGATATGGGTGCTGCATCGATTTTCAAGGAGCAAACTAGCAGCGAACGGGAAACACCACAATGAAATAGGCCCAAAGAAGGCTTAGACAACTCAACAAAGAAAGGACCAAGTAGAAACCAGAAACCGGGACCTTGCTATTAGACCCGTGTTTTACGCTGAATTTAGGGCTGATTCCATACTTGAGCCAAAGGTCATGCGACACTTGGCTGGAAGACCATTTTGCCATGCACATACACCAAGTACCCTTTCTGATGTCTGCAATTCCCCATGATGTTTGTCTGTCACAAACATCTGCAAGTCCAACTTGCGCTCGAACACAACTGGAAACGTGACTTTGCATCTCACATTTCAATCTGCGAAGTGCAGCTCTCCCGAATACAGCAAAGAGGCGTGACTATGCGTGGAGCAACCTGATAGAGATACAGTATATTGACCTAGCGAGATATTTGCCATGTGGCAGGTGCCACGGAAACAATTGAGCCACGCAACTCCCAGAGCCACGCAATTCCCACAACCCCACAAGCGAGCGCATGAAAGGCTTGGGCAATGATTCAAATTTCAACCATCAGCCACTGCCGACTTTCTACTGCCGACTGCATTATTTGCTCACCTTTGCTAGCAATGCTTCACTGGTACGATGAAATGCCGATGTTTTTTGTTGAAGGAGAGCAACAACGATAGCACCCTGCTTGCGCTCATTCGGCCGTGACCTCAACAAATTTCTAAGGTCTAATGGGAAGTGGGGCTCCCGTTGCCAAAAAACACACCTGTTATGAGGCTGGCTCTAGGCAACCAATGTCTCAAACATGATCATGCCACTCCCAAAATGCGCTCAAACATGATCTGGAACCTTCCAACCGCATACGCCTTTGGCGATAGCGCAGCATGATACCAGAGTACAAAAGCGGAAAGGGTGGTGCAAGCCCTGCATTTCTGAACTCATGATGCCAGTTCAATACAGTCGAATTCGCAAACGACCAACTGCTCTCAAATCTTCCATATCTACGAAGCGCAGCGCTCACAGTCAAGCCCAATTGCTACCGCGAGTGTGCCATTTTCCAGGCAGCATCTCTTGCTTTTTGAGCTGCAGTAGCTGCTTGGGCGTGCCAACAAAGCAAAACGGCTATCTCCAGTGACCGTAGGAGAAGGTCCCGTTTTGTGTGGCTTGTGCTGTTTGGCTCACTGATCTTCACACTTCCTTGCGTGTGACTCTCACAACCTGCCAGGCATTCCCATTGAAGCAAACGTGTGCCGGCCAAGAAACACATCCCAGATTTGATCAACTTTAGGCACGCAGTGAGTCTTTGGCAACTTGGTCAGGGAAATATATGGGTGTGGCTCCAAATTAAACAGCAGAGGTTACGCAGGTTTTGGTCCATGTTTCCACTTACCAGGGTTCCGTTTTGGTACCGTTTTTTTGAGCCACTGCCATATCCCTGAAATATGCGGAATGGGAAGCCGAAATGAAATGGTCCACGAGCTAGCTCGGAAAGGCTCAACGCAGCCTGAAAACTGGGCGGCGAACACAACCTCTGCTCAACACAGGCAGCAACTCCAGAGATGTGCAGGAAACATGTCCATATTGGCTATTCGGCATGCGGGTGTGCTTCTGAACTTCTAGAAAAGTCGGTTCAAATTAAACTTGATCCCCAGGGCCTTCCAATTTACACATACCGCGCAATCGTGCATGCTCGCCCTACCCTTTGGCGCTTCACAGGCATACAATTTGTCGCCCGCTCGATGGCAAGCTACAGCTCTTGCATTCGTGCACTTCTGCAACGCCCTCGTTTCCGATCGTGTCCTCTTGGCTTCCCTTTTGGCCCCGAAGGTCCGCAATGACCACCTGGAAGTCTTGAGGATGGCGCTTGACATACTTCAAGAAGCTCCTGAGATCCTCCTGGTGACGCTCGCCAGCATCCAAGTGAGTCACTTGTCGAGGGGACATGGTGCCCGCAGGGAATAGGCAGTCAGTGCTTGAGCTCAAATCAAGCACTCGGAGGTGAGATTCAGCGATCTCAATTTTCACAGCTCAGAATCCAAATACAACACGACACAACGCAGGACTCATGAAGGTCTTGAAGTTGTTACTAGTCAGGTCTCGGAAAAATATAGTTCCATGGTCCAATCAAGATGTGCATCCAGGTTTGAGGCGTCAAGGTTCAAGAAAAGTCGTCAAGCCGTGGACGGAAGCAGCAAGTAATTGCCGATCACTGATCTATCTCTAACATGTGGCCTCGGAGGCGGCAGTGCCATGATGCGTGCTGTTGTCTCACAACCTATCTGCAATGTGGGTGGCGAGTGTAGCTCAAAGCTGCTTCCAAAGCTGCTTGAAAGCCGTTTGTTTGCCAGGATCGACATGTCTCTACAGTGAGCTGAGCCAGCCAACGGTCATATATCAAATTCACAACTAGCACTCAAAGCCAAAACCAGACAGCTACCAAAATTCCTGAGCAACTGATCATGTTGGAAGTGTTGATTGAATACTTGGCACGCAACATTGCAGGAGTCATGAGCACTTGCAATGAGCTGTTGTTTCACATGAGATCCTGGGAAATTCATGGAAATTTCTTCAATCGCTCCCAATCCGAATGCTTTCCGCTGGACAGGATGTCATTCAATACCAGTCAATCTAAATCTCCGCATTATTTCCGCTTCCCAGAACTGCTTTTATGTTCGAGTGAGACGAGCGTCAGGTCTCAGTTGCCAACTCGCGCAATTTGGCCTGCACGGAGCACCATGGAACTTGTACTTCTGGTGAGCTGAGAACCGGTGTCTCGATTTGAGCTCCGCAAAACTGTTGTTTTCACAGCGCCCGTGTCTGCAACCCGAAGCGCTTCGGCATCCCTTAGACCTCCCGCCAGAGCCAATCCATCTGCGACCCAAGCGTCTGCGACCCTACAACTTTCAGGTTGTTTTCAGTATATCTGACCAATACCAAAAAATAGATTTACAAAAATTGATCAGCGAACAAACTGAGTCAGCAATAGCCCTAATTTGATACTGTATGTTTGATTGAATTACTGGCATGTTCAGAAGAATTTTGATCAGGTTCTTCCATTCAACAAGAACCAGCAGAAGAACAAGAACTGAGAGCCAAGCATGGTTTTCCAGCCATTTTTTTCCGCGTCAGTTGTGCCTTCTCTGCAGGGAACACTCGCTCCACTCTACTTGTCACGCAGTAACAAATTATGTTTGCTTACTCTGCAAAGGAAAACTTGCTCGAACACACTTACGTTCACCGCCCAAGGGAACAACCCTAGATGAACCGCTCTACCCCATGCACGTGGCACCGAATGATTACATTCAACACCCGCTTGACCATCCGTGTGGCACCAAGTGATAATGTTCACAGGTCAAGGGAACACCCACTCTACCCGCACTCATATGGGATTGATCGACCCCATCATTGAACAAAAACAAAGAAGCATGATGCAACTTGTCCACACTTCAACTCTTGCAGGCCTAGCAACAAAAATACGGGCACCACATGCCTGTCCTCTTCGACCTCAACAAACATTGCAAAATAGTCGTCATCTCAACCGTGAAAACCGTGTCATTTGCGAGCCTAAAACTCGTGCCTTTCGGATCACAGATAAGACAACATGCTTTCGGGTCACAAATAAGGCTTCTGCCTTGTAGGCCTTTGAATTGCGCTTGGACTTTGTAAGCTTCAAAATGTCCAGGCGATCGCTCCCCAAAGTCTCGCGCCTTAAGCATGGTGCAAATACGGCAAGTGAACAACCTGGCTGTCGGGCGCTAGGCCAGCCGAGAATCACTGGGCTTGCTTATTCACACGGAGCATCAGGCTGGGACAGCTGCTTGGACAAGTAAGACGAGGAGCCAATCGTGAATCAAACAAAGCATGCAACTGACTGAACAATCATGGCATCCTCCAGGCATTTCCTCTGCCGGAGGAACTTCATGTGCAGTGCTTGAGGTCACGTGCTTGTGCTAAAGCCATTAGTAGCAAAGTGGTGAATGTGCGCTTAGCATTGTTTCAACATTCTGCTTTGACTTGCGCCCAAACACGTCTTCCCGGACACATTCAAGTAAGTTCTGCTCGGCCAAACAGATGTGTCAACTCGAAAGAGCCGCTGGCATGTCCAATCGAAAAGCAGCTATCGCGTATCGCGCCTCAGCCAAAGAGGTCGAAGTCCATCTCCTCCTCCTCTTCCTCTTCCACGACCTGGCCGCGAAAGCGATCTACCCTTTTTGTTCAGAGCTTTGTCAAAAATCCAAACCGATCGATATTAAAATGGCCGGAATCCCCGGAACCATGCTTCAAGAATTCAAAAGGCGGATGTCAGCACCCATTTATGCATTTATGGCTGGGATCAGACTTTGACACAGTAAGTTTGGGACAAGCCCAAGTCCGACTCAACCAATGTTATCGATCAGCAAAGCATGCGTTCACGCCATTGCAGCAAAAAACATGATAATATATTTTGAATTGAAGCCCAAAAAAGATTGTCCCTTCACGCAAAGGAGGACAGCTCATCAACTCCAGACCAGTACACCTTCGAGTGAATCTGGCGTAAAAGCGAGTGAATGTTCATGGGATGTCCGCCAGGAGTCTACTCCCAGCCTTCTTCTCCTCTTTCTTGGCCGCTGGTGCATCACCTCCGCCTACGGCATCTGCAGTTCTAAAAAAGACATTGACTAAATGGCGCTGATGTGCAGCACATTGCATTGGCCATGTGCTTCGCTTGCATGGCCAGAGTTCTTGCATCCTTGGGCAGCATCATGAGAATGAATAGCATCAGAAGCAACTAGCATCACCATCATCAAATACTTGTTTGGAGATGGGAAGCAAGAGCAGCCAGTGGAACGGCAGAGTGGCGTCACAGACTTCTGTGATTGCACCGGACAATTGGGCAATGGCTGCAACGCCAAAGCTGCACAGTACCAATGCGTAGCATCTAATGGCTCGACAAAACATGCTTCATCCGAGGATGCCTTGCGAACAAAAGACTAGACTTCACTGCCTAGATGTTGAACCTCTTCAATCTCTGCATTCCCCTCCCTTAGCGAACCCATTTGGTTTTAGGTGTGTCACTCGTCTGAAGCTACAGCCTGCCGCGGCAACTGCAACGCCACCACCGCCACCACCGCCGAACTTCTTCAGCTTCTCCTTGAAACAAGATGTTGACTCCAAGGTTTGGTAACCGCACAAAGCGTTCAAGGCCAAATGAGTTCCCTGCGCTCCACAAACAAGGCCTCACGCAGCCAAGGCTTCCCCAAGAGATGCGCATGATCACATGAGGGGCTTGTGTCGCCCATGAACTTCATGTGAGGCGTTCGAACAGAACTTGCAAGGAGTCCAGTTTTGGCATTCTCTTGGCATGAACTGGGGACGTTCAGCCCCGTATCAGTCCTTGCCGGCAGCAACCACCTGATCGAATGGCCCAAGCACTTGACGGAACATGCCGCATGCTTTCGTCCTGCAAGGCTTCTTTCGACTCATCACCCCAGATCCGAGGACCGTTCCCCTCCCTGGAGTACAGAAAAGTGATTCGCGCTCGCGCGGTGCTTCGCGGTCGCAAGATGCGGGTCGCAAAATGCGCGTGCTTCAGGCGCGTGCGCTCCAGAGGGCGCTGGTTGGAACGATTTGCATTTCCCCGGCAAGCAGCTGGTTGGCTGGCTACTTGGCCAAGCGGGCCTGGCACTCCTACATGCAAAGTCTACAATGCCCATGAAGTCTTCCTGAAATCTGTGGTTGCTGAATTGAAGCGATGTTCACGACAGAGTGCAGAGGCCAAGCCAAATTGTTCTGACTGGATGCGGGCGCTAGCCTTCTGCAAACTGAAGACGGGCAGCCCCTTCTTGGCAGACGATTCCACAGGACAGTTTCCAATGCTTTTGGGATGACTGGGGATGCTGGAGAGGTTGCGTCTTTTTTTGGGCTGCCGGGGCTCGATTTGAATAGTTTGGGCACCCGTGCTGCCTAAAATCATGTTTTGAGGAATCAAACGGTGGTATCGAGGCCTGCTTGAGACCATTGCGTGATGCTTAGGGGGATGCGGCACCGGGCGGCAGCCCTGCAATGATTACACCCTGACCATCAAAATGGAGCTGAACCTATGGCTATGCATTTTCACAGGGAACCCCCCTTGATTGACATGGATCCCCACCTAAATGATGTCCACCAGTGCGGGTCCCCAATCAAAATTCAGACCCATATGTCTCGTTTTAGCCTGGCCGACGCCCGCCACGTGCTTGACAGCGGGCGCTGTTCCATTGCGGGTTGGTCCAAAGTGGGTTGAGCTCCTAAGGAGCTCAACGCCTACAAATCAATGACCGACCAAGCAATCACACAAAAAAGCAAAGCTTCATGCTCTCCCCAGCCAGGTACAACAATAATGACAAATGGCCAAGAATGTCAAATGTCAAAACCTTGAACTGACCGGGCATTTCAGTTGCTGGCAAACCACGGCAAACTCACAATCAATTTATCAGAATCATCAAAATGCAAGTGCACTAAACATTGCAAACATCCAGCGCCTCATGCACCACTTTGCCGTCCAGCTCGCTGATGAGCTTGCTGGCAATCGATTCGTCCTTGAGCTGGAAGCTGCAAATCAGTCGACTGCAAATCTGGCAGACTCTTGTGTAACTGCCATGATGTTTCCCCGCGGTAAAGAACCCAAGCTAAGCCCACGGCGTACTCAGACTCCACGGATTCCTGAGCAAGCCCTACTGCTTAAATGCAAGAAAGATTTGGCAATCCAAATGCATGACCCGCTACTTCTGACTTAATAGCAGGTAGTTCTAAAGATGAACAATGACCGAGTTTTCAGTGGCGCATCTGCACACCACTGGGCAGACAGAATCCGCCGACCCTGCTTCACGTTGCCAAAGGGGAGCGGACTGGGCACAGCGGTGGCGCGCCAGCACAGGGCCATTCGCGTATGGATTTTGCATTTGGGGTTCCCAACAAATACACACCCAGCGCGTCACGCGTGGGCCAAACCTCAGGACAAGCTGTCCTTTGGACAGCTGGTGCGCTAAAAGTGCTTCAAGCGCAACAAACTGCTTGGGCAAACTGCTGCTTCCTTGCAAGGTGTTGGCGGCAAGCGCGAAGCTTTGTGAATCCGGCCGCGGCTTTAGTGGCTGAATAGCCGCGCTGCGAAACTCCGTGCCCATGACGACCCAGTGATGGTGACGCGAAGTAGCTTGCCACGCGCTCAGCATTTGTTTTGGGTCTGCTTGTAGCGTGAAGCAGACTGTAAACATCAGAAACATGTCACTAGGACCGAGACCACCACAGCGCTGTCCAAGCCATATGCACGGCCGTTCATGCCTGCCTTTCTGCCTTCTGCCTTCTTTGGTCAACTGGACGTGCTACATGCTTTGGTCAACTCAATTGGGCAGAAACAACCTTAAGATCCAGTGGAAATAACTTGAACTCTAATCACCCCATCTGACGGGTAGAAAACAACCCTCATCAAGCTGGCAGAAGACTGGAATTGCGTCAGAGGGTGCGATGATGCCAGCTTTGTAGTCAGTCCGGTCATCTAGAAAGTCTATCTTGTCTGCCTACGAAGCATCACCGGTGCTTTCGCGCGTGCATGCTCTATGATGTCGTGCGCAGGTGCAATTTGGCACGGAAGGTGAGGCGGCACAGACCAAGAGCCGCCAACCCTTATATGCGTGTATGCAAATCGCATTGCAAGTCCATTTCCCTAATGTGAATCCAAGTCTCCAGGATTTTCTTGATGTCATCTGCTGTCGGAGTCTTGCCAGCCAGGGACTGAGTCAGAGAGTGGCAGGCAGACGTCTCTGAGGCAACAGCATGTGCCGCCTATGTTGATGAAACAAATGCCGGGTTTGGTCGGCATCTCCCTCCCATTGCTTGTCACCCAGACTTCAAGCAGTGACATGATGTGAGAGTCGACACATGGGCCCGCACGGCCATCAGGTATGCGGCAACGTACTTCATGCCCATTGTTCCAAAGTCCGCTACCTGGCTCAACGTAGCTTACAGTGCCCCACCCAACTGATAGCAGGATTCAAGCTGCTGTGCGGTCCGTATCCATGCTTCATGCGCAGACTTGCAGCGTGTGACTGCACGGCCGGCTGGCCGGGGAAGTGGTAAATAGCCCGGCTCTGGGCATCCTTTGGGACAAGAGTTGAAACTACAAGCTGCAATCGGTCAAACGCAAGTGTTGCCTAAATCACCCAAACTAGATGCGTGCCCCGTTTGACTGCTGTGTAAGGCGAAACCACTTCTTGAAGATTGCCTCCCGGATTGTGATTTAATCACATCCAGGAATCCAGGCCACCATAAAGATCCGTGTGTTGAAAGGACCGCAAGATCGAACCATTTGAGAAATCATTCTACACATAGACAGGTTCTCAACCAATCAACAATCATTCAGCAAATATCGAACCACAGGTCCTCTTGCCGCAATCCACGGGTTTTTCCCTGGCGGGCGCCTCAGAAGGCCACCGGGAAGGGAAATGCAGCTTGAGCCCTTGCGATCCGGTTCGAGCGGGCGGGTTCTTTCTCTTGTCGCAAAGACGGCCAAACAGTCAAAGACAGGCTCTCCCCCCAAAAAAATGAAGGTTGAACGCGGAGGGGTTGAATGATGGCTGCGTCCATGACATTGTCGCAGGGAGCGACAAAGAGGGAGAGCAACGACAAAGTGATATAATACATGCGCTTTCTGCCCCTCACAGACGTCTCAATCTCAATGTGCGCCAGCCTGTTGCCGACGGTGAGCAAAGACTGTCAGATTCAGGTGAAACCAATCCGCGAATCCCGGCTAACAAGGCATAGCTTGTAGCCGCATAGCCGCATAGCTGTATTCCTCTGAATCATACCACTCACGACTCATGGGTTCAGGGAGCCTGTGTTGCTCAGCACGTTGATGGGCACGGACAAGTACACCTTACCATTCGAGGCAGGTTCTGGAAGGCGTCCCGCCTGGATGTTCACTTGCACGGATGGCACGATGAGCTTGGGCACCGCTAGCTGAGCGTCACGGCTATCGCGCATCTGGACGAACTCTTCTTCTGACTTTCCACCGCCAATGTGAATGTTGTTCCGCCTCTGCTCACCGATGGTCGTCTCCCAAGCAAAGTCTTTGCGACCTTCTTTGGGCAAGTAGTCATGGCCCACAAAGACACGCGTTTCGTCGGGAAGCGACAGGATCTTCTGAACGGAGGAGTACATGGTCTTTGAAGACCCGCCAGGAAAGTCACATCTTGCGGTGCCGTAGTCAGGCATGAAGAGTGTGTCACCAGTGAAGAGTGCATCTCCAATGTGGTAGCAGACGCATGCTGGGGTGTGCCCGGGAGTGTACAGGACACTTGCATCCAACTCTCCCAGGTTGAAGACCTCCCCATCAGCGAATAGTTTGTCAAACTGGGACCCGTCCTTCTTGAAATCGGGCCCCAAATTGAAAACGCCGGAAAAGACATCCTGCACTATCCTGATGTGCTCCCCGATGCCAATCTTGCCCCCAAGCCTGCCTTGGATGTAAGGGGCTGCAGACAGGTGGTCGGCATGCGCATGAGTCTCAAGAATGTATTCCAAGTCCAAACCATTCTGTTGGATGAACTCAATGACTTGGTCAGCATGCGCCGTGCTGGTGTTACCTGAAGAGAACTCAAATCCCAAGACGGAGTCGATCACGGCTGCTTTCTTGGTGAGAGGGTCCACCACAACTGAGCACACCGTGTGGGTGTCTGGCTCGTAGAAGACCGTGATCTCTGGTTTGCCCGGCATGCTGAGCGCTGATTGTCCAAGATGTGCTTCAAACAGCTGTGGCTCAAGGTCATGCCTTGTGCACCCTGATGTCACATCTGCATCCATCAGAAGCTACCAAAGCTCAAGAATGCAATCATAACTCCTACACGCAAGTTCAGCCCTTCATGTTTTATCCCCT